GTTGCAGGAGTTCATGTAAACCTACTGAAACATGCTGTGGAAGAGAAGCGGAAAGTGATGTTTGTTTTGTTTATTTCTTTTTTAGACCGCTAAAATTTAATAAATAATGCATTATCTGTATATAATCATTTACACAATCTGCAATACAAATATATTTTTTTATGAATAAATATATATAAATACAGTGTACATATAAAAACACTGTACATACCCACTCGTCAGCCAACTCAGTGCATTTATTCATCCTGTGCAATCTACTTAAGTTTATTTATTATAATCCTTTGTTCGTCCTGTAAGCTTTTCAGTTTATTTATTTACCTCTGGCCTTACTAGTCCGATGTACTTGTGCTTTTTCGGTATAGCAAATTTCCCCACTGTGGGAAACATAAGCATATCTTATTTTATAACACATCTAATCTAATGGGCTCTGTTATTAAGGTGCTTTATATAGTGTTTTGAATAGATGTGTAAAACACTCAACCTTTCATCTACTTTGCAGGTCAACCCGCATATGAGATGATGGAAACTGACCCAGACTGGGCTCCATCCCTGCATCTGGGCCACACTGGCATCAAACCAACAGACACAGACCGCTCTTTAAGACGTGGTTATCGGGAACAGCTGAAAAAGAATGCCCTGCAAGCAACTGAAACGGGGCTCCATCAGGCTGATGAAATCCTTCAGCGAGAGGATGAAGTTACACATGAGGCGACAGAGAACCCTAACCAGCAACAGACTGACACGCAGAAGGCTGCTGAAAACGTTGGCCGGCCAAACACCAAGGATGACACAGAAGGTGGTCGTCAGGAAGGACAGACAGAATGTAACCTGTGTGTGCTCAGGTGTGCAGAGATGAACCGTCTTTTGGAAGAAAACAGAGAGCTGCGGCGTGAACTTGATGAGCTGCGGATCTCTGATGGCTTCTTTGGAGACAGTAATGAAAAAGTCCAGTACTATACGGGTCTACCAAACTTGGCAACCTTTATGGCTTTGTTTAATTTTCTGCTGCCTCTCATGTCTGCTCAAAATAAAATTCTCAGTCCATTTCAAATGCTCTGTTAACCTTCATGCGTCTGAGATTGGATCTGCCCTCAAAACACCTTGCTTATCTCTTCCGTGTTTCACCAAAGACAGTGTACAGAACATTCAATAAAATGCTGTCATTTTTATATGCAAATCTAAAGCGTGCAATTGTGTGGCCAGATAGAGACACCTTGCACAAAATTATGCCTCATCAGTTTGTGGAGGCCTTTGGACATAGTCACAGTGATTATTGACTGTTTTGAAATTTTCACAGAGAAACCAGCTAATAAATGAATCCCAGATCAAGTACTGTTTCAACTTTATTCTTCTTTTTTTATTCTTCTTTTCACACAAATAGAATTTTGCTTTTTTTAAAGTTACTTTTGAAAAATCACAGCAAAACAAATATAAGTTTCACCATCAATTCAAATATTAATGTTTTCTGAAGTTGTAAAAATGTGTGTACAATAAAGAGTGGATTTGAAATTTGAAACAAGTGTTGTTATTATCTTTTCAATCAAGCAGAGAATTTATGAAAATGCAATACAAAATCTCAAATACATAAATAATGCAGAACAGTGCAAAGCTTCAAATATTTTACTTTGTCTTCCTCCCTCGTATATAGCAGATTGCTCTTTAGATTAAATGAGAAGATTTTCATTTTCCCTGGACTTGTTTTCACTGTGGTCTTCCGTAGAGATATGACCTAACAGGTGATATCTGTGAAGAAGACTGCAGATCCCAGTGAAAACAGGCCTGGTTAAAGTGAACAGCAAATACAGTGTGCAACTTATCAATGTGCAAAAATTATGACAAGTTTTTTCGTTCAGTCTGATGAGCAGCACAAACTGCTCTAATAACTGCAGCTATCTGTGCAACTGCCCACAACATCTGCCTTGTCACTGTAATAATAATATATAATATCGTTCCCTAGCAGCTTTAGAAAGTTTGTCTGGGTAGGGTATCCGTTCAGTTTTCTTGTTCTTTTCCATTTAACTGATAATCCTCACTGCTGGCAGTGCTCTCCTCTTGTTTTCTGCTGTTTTGTTTTTCTTCCGCTCACCACAAAAATGGCGCTAGGGGGCGTGTCAGTCACGTGTCTGACAAAGACCGATTCTCCCTCTAGCTTCCCTAAACCAGTGAACACTCTGGGATATTGCTTCACATAAGTATTCTCTGTGGCAATGGCATCCACTTGAGTTAGCAAGCTGAGGTCTTGTATGAGTGGCAAGCCAAGGAGTCTTGTTTGGAGGTGACAGTTTCCCATGCAGCTTTTCAGAGTACATGTGTTTTGGGATGGCTGTCACTGCAGCGCCGGTGTCGATCTTGAACACCAGTTGCTGGCCATTTACTCCAATTGACTTTTTCCACACTGTGCTAGGTGCAGTTGTCATTGTGCCCAAAAACAAAGTTTCCACTATTTCACTCATGTCACTCTGCTGAAGTTCCTCCACTCTCATTTTGGTTTTACACACAGCCGCAAAATGTCCCTTTTTCTGACATTTCTTGCAGTCTGTATTTCGAGCAGGGCAGTCTTTGAATGAATTCCCATGACATCTGCCAAACCTACCACATTTGTCTTTTGCATCTGTCTGCTCTGGTCTATGGTTTGTTTTGTTCCTTTGTTGACCATATTTTTGTTTGTGTTTAAATCTAACTGCATTTGTTTAAGGCTAGGTTGTCAAAAAAAATCAACAAGAGAGATATTACACCACACATGCACAAGTTCTGCATATCTGTTCACTGTCAGGGGAGCAGTCAAAAATTCTATCTCTGGAAAGCCATGATGCCAGACATCAAAGTGTAGCCGACATTTGTTATGCCATAATTAACATGTTAATTGTTAAGTGACATAATAATTTATAAGAGGTAAAATGAAAATGACTGTAGGATATGTTTACAAGTTCACAGCCAAAATAAACAAATATAGGACCTGTTTGTTATTGTATCTTTATTTACACAAATGTGTTGACAGTTGTACTTGTTACATGGCATTCATATTTATAACAAAATCTTTTTCTAATTTGTCTTTTTTGCACATTTTATTTCTTTTGTGGAAGGTTATAAAAAGTCTTCTTTTTTTGTTTTACTGGGCACAACTTGCTAAATTTCTTTATCTTAAGCTAATTAAACGAGTGCATAATGAATTGTTCTCTGTTGGCAGAATACAAAATAAATACACTTTGAATAAAGTGTAGAGTCTGTTTATGATTTGCTGTTGCACTCTAAATAAATCGATTGGACATAATACAGAAAAACATACATGTAAAGAGTAATGAGAATATTTGTACTCTTTATATTTACACATGTATTTACACAGGACATATTTTGTGGACCTGGGTGACTTAGAGAAGCTATTCCCTCAGCCCATCACTGATCATTTGACGGAGTCTTACATAAAGATTAGTAATTTCATACACATCATCTGTTATTACCAGTGGGCTCCGTCATGAGTCCAGTGCATAAGTGAAACACGTCGACATCACAGGGAAAGTCCTTGAAACGACATTCTTCTATACATATTTCCAGCTTTGTTAGATTACAAACTAAAAAATTGGGAACCCACTACAGGATGGGAACAACATGCATTAATGTGGGACAACCATGAGAAGCCCAAGGATTATTTGACCGTATACGACGGCCATTCCATACCTGGACAACTTGATCCAACTCCATCTGTTTAATAAAATAATCAGGAAAAAAATATGAAAAAAAATCATGCTTTTTTATAATTTGTTATTTATTTCAAATTTGGGTGCTGAAGGCAAGAAATAAATTTAAAGTACCTGTATTGTTTGTAGGAAGCAAAACTGGATCAGTGATTTGTCCAGAAAGCTGTCAAGAAAATAGCCATCGGCTTTAAGCTGGTGGAACGGTCCATCCAAAACTGGGCACATTCACTTCCTAAAGTGCACCATCGCTCTATACTTTGATTTCCTGTACTCGGACAGAGAATAACAGATTCAAAACCATTTTCATTATCGGTGTTGTGCAGAAATCTTTTCATTGCTGCCACACAAGTGTTCTCTGTGCCATGATCCATTCGTATCTTTTGTGGAAATCCATTGTACCCCAATCACAGAATCAATAAAATAGCCAGCAATAATCTGAGGGTCACTATTAGTCTTGTATGCTTTAGCCAGATCATTTTCCTAGAAAAGCCATCCACGCATCCATTAACACATATCCCATAAGGCTTAAATATGTCGTACCCATCCATGTGCCAGACATAGTTTGGTTCCCGACTGACATATAAACGTCGTCTCAAGCGATTTTGTGCAAGCAGGTCAACCTCGTTGAGATCCAATAAGCGCATCAAAAGACGAACCGTTTCCCTGTCTGTGACTATGCAAGCCATCCAACGTTTCTGGTGCATCCACCTGTAGCCGTGCTGTCTCCCGCCGTGTTGTTGTTGAATAAAAGAGGCCACTTCTGCAACATCTGTCTTATTTTTCCGACTACTTTTTACACACTGATCACAGAAAATATAGTAAAGCCACTCCTTGCAATTGAAAAGAGGAGCAGCAAAAGCATCAGATGCATCTGTACTCACTTCACTTGAGGTGCTTCAGGATCAAAGATGCTTAAGGCGCATCTGACATTACACGCATCAAAAATGAAGCAGCAGATGCGTCTTTGCTGCTAAAATTGCATTTGAGTGAATGTATCATTTTTTTTGAGTAGCATTTTTACCTAATAGTTTTGACTCTTGAGTAATTTTTTGGATGGTATTTTGTACTTTTACTCGAGTTTAAATATGATAAAGTAGAGCCATGCTTAAGTACAATTTTTTTGTAGTTTATCATCTTCTGACCTCAGATTATACGGATTTATATTTCAATTGTTCACCAAGTAAAGCTTTTTCTAAGAAGCTGTGAATTTAGCATTTTAGCAGTTTTTATACATTTTAAGTCAAACCATAATTAGTATCATCTACTGAGAGAGATATAACATTGAAAGCATACTATAAATAATAATTTAGTTTAAACTTTTTATTCAAATAGCGAGACAGCACAAGAAAGAAATGGGAGAATGAAAGGGGAAAAAATAAGGATAAGTAACTTTTTGCATCATTTTCTGGTGACGTTTTCCTTCATGAGTTCAGTTCTTGTAGATTCTGGATCACAGCAGATGCCAACTTCTTGTAAGCCTCCGCCTGGATGTAAAGAAGCACAACAGCAAAAAAAAGCTTTATACAGATAAATGAATTACTATATTAACTATGTGAAATAATCAAATTTCCTAAACTAACTGACAAAAAATAATAAATCCACTGTAACAATCGAACTGAATGCTACAATGTACAGTGATGTAGAAACCTCTAAACTGTCCGGGTAAGAAATGACTATTGGTTGTCCTTTGTCTGACATCTCCCTGATGGTTAGGTGAAGAGGGATGTCCCCTGAAATGCAATAAACACATGTACAAAACCTCTTAATGACTATGAAATTATTCACTACTTTCCAAGATATTGTCTGGTAAGTGCTGCAAGAATCAAAGATTGTTTTATGACGCAAAATAAAGACATTTTTCATTCCTCAAGCCTCATAAGAAATCTTCAAAAGAATTATGTAAACAAGAAAGAAAATAATAGAAGGAAATTAGTCACATCATAAGAACCCTGCTAAAGTTTGCAACTATACTGCTGTTTTGAATTTCTTACCCAAAAACTTAACTCCAATTTTCTCTGCAAGTTGCCGTACCCCGTCGGAGCCAAAGATGTGGGTTTGGTGATTACAGTTGGGACACTGGAAGACATTCATGTTTTGAATGAGACCTAGAACCTGTGGGGAAAAAGCCAAATTTTTTTCCCCATAACTTCCTTCATCATTAGACAGGACAGATTCTCTGATTTTGTAAAAAAAATAGATTACCGGCACGTTGACTTTTTTAAACATCTCCACTCCCCTGCGAGCATCCAGCAGAGCAACATCTTGAGGTGTTGAAACAATGACTGCACCTGCACACAAAATATTGGCATGTTAAAAACCTTAAAAAACTAAAATGTATTTTTAGAATGGTGTGCGCAAGAAGGACAGACCTGCTACTGGAATATTTTGAGAGATGGACAGTTGGACGTCTCCGGTCCCAGGAGGCATGTCTACCACCAAGTAGTCCAAAGCCCCCCATTGTACCTACAAACACAAGTAGACAGTTTCCGCATTAAATGAGAGGATGGGAAAATAGTAAAGAACAAAAATAAATTCAGCTCTTCTGTCACACCTTAAGCTAGAAACTTAAGACTTTTACCTGTCTGAGTAATCTCTCTATAGCAGACATTACCATCAGTCCCCTCCACACAATGGGAGATGTATCCTCCACTAGGAAGCCCATTGACATGCTGACAGAAAGGGCAATTTATGCTAAGAAGCATGAAAGAAAACATGTGTAAAAATACCCAATCCGTCAAACTGATTTAACTCACCATGGCACGCCATAGTTGATAAGAGGAATCATTCGGTTATCTGGAAGAAGGCAAGAAAAAAAAAAAAAGTTAAACTCGGATAACTTTAGACATCATTTCTAAAATCTCAGTTTCAACATAACACACCATCACTGAGCTCTGGGTTTCCTTTAAGGTTCATGAGTTTGGGTATAGATGGGCCATAGACGTCAGCATCCAACAGACCAACTGTCTTAGACTAAGAGAGAAGAAATAAACCAGATTCAGACAGGACACTCCCAATAAACTGACTTTCGTCATTGATGTGCTGAAACCAAGTTACAAAAATCAATCAAAAAAAATTAAAAATCGATAAGCTTAATACATGATTGTAAGTATTAAACTTTAGACAGCTATTCCCAATCATGCATAATGGTTAATAAATAAACTGCTCAAAAAAATTAAAGGAACACAAAAATACATAAGATCTCAATGGGGAAAAAGCATGCTGTTTATTAATACTGATATGGACTGAGTGATGTGTTAGGAACAAAAGGATGCCACATCATTTGATGGAAATGCAAAATTATCAACCTACAGAGGGCTGAATTCAAAGACACCCCAAAAATTACAGTGAAAAAATTATGAGGCAGGCTATAGTCCATTTTTCTGAAATTTGATTGCAGCAACTCAAATGGTATTCAGTTATTTGTATGGCCCCCACATGTGTGTATGCAGGGGCGGATCTAGAAAAATATTTATGGGGTGGCAAGAGGGGGGCAGGAATTTTTTAGGGGTGGCAACATATGGCATTTGTTTACACTGAATTTATTCACAGTTATCACAGTTTGGTGAGAATAGTATGTACAGTACTAGTGTTTCATGTGAAACAGTTCATATTAGAAATACATCGTACAATGAGATCTCACTTAATAGGAGATAGAAGAATGATAACACTACTTCTAGAGGGGCATTATCACAGGAAAGGTATTACGGTAAGACACAGGTGCTGAGTCGCAGATGTGACAGATTGACTGTCAGAGAGGCAGCTTTGCAGCATTTGCACAAGAAGAAACTATAGAAAGAAAAAGTTACCAATCAGAGATCTATGGACTGAGCTGTACTAAAGTGAGCAGAACTACACAGTAGAAATAAATGGGTCAAGGCACCCGCACAAGGTACTGGACATCTATGTATTGTTTACTCTGAACACACATTTACCCCATTTGTTCCTCAGTAACATGACATACAGCAGTTACGGCAACATGAAAGGGACATTTCATGCATGTAAATATGCTGTAGATAGAGCTGGATATGGAGGACCAACTCTGCCATATTTAAAAATAAATAAAGAAATAAATAAATGCTCAATAAATAAATAAACATACAATTAATTGCCACCAAAAGTACAACCAACAAATAAATGTAATTAGAAATTATATTATAATGGCAGGCAGAAATGTTAAAAGGGCAGGCAGAAAGAAATAGCGGCGAAGAAATAACTAGGGTAAAAAAATACAAAGGAAGAATAAAACAGACAAAAATATGATAACATGCACATAAATAAATACTTAAAAATATAAGTAATGAAAAAATGAAGTTGAAGATAATAAATGACAAAAAAAATAAATAAGGTAAATTTTAAAAAGGCAAAGAAATAAAGAAGCCAATTAAAAGAGTTATATACCTTTATGACTAGCTGTATAATTTAATTTCTACTTACATTTATTTGTTGTTTGTATTTTTGGTGGCAATTAATTGTATGCTTATTTATTTATTAAGCATTTATTTATTTCTGTATTTATTTTTAAATATGGCAGAGTTGGTCCTCCATACTGCTGTATCAACAAATCAACAAAAAGGCGGGTTCTGTATGTTACATCAAAATCTCCACAAATCTGAAAAGAAGCAACATAAAAATACATTTTGCTTGTGAGTAGGTTCATACAGGTCATTTCTGGATAGTTTCATATTATATATACAAAAAAAGAAACAACAACTCTGCTTCATATTAAGCAGGATTTACACCAGTATCACATTTTTAACTTTTAACACTTTTGGTTTTATTAAAGGAAATATCAGATTTTCTCAGGTGCCATTACAAAATGTAACAGCTCTGTAAAGGCTCACCAGAGAGCATAACATAAAGTTAACATGACTATAACAGCTGAATGCAGTGATTTCCATGTTGCTCAGCAAAACACTTCACAAATTTATTTAGATCCAATGCCTTTGTGCGTTTTGATTTGAGTAAAACCAAACTTGATCGTCTCTTTTCTGTCATAGTTGACCGCAAATATGTCTTTATGAGCCTGAGACGTCAGGCCTAACTAACATCATAGTTAGAGAAATAACGTTCTGCAACCTGATTTTTATCATCTCAAAATCAGCATTGCAGCTATGCTAGCAACATTGTACTTTCATTATGATTTCATTTCTCGATAGATAGTTAATCAGTTTTTACCTGTTTCATCCCATGTCTCCTCTCCCCATCACCCCTGGCTCCCTCTTCTTCTTCTTCTTCTTCTCGAGTTTTATGGCGGTTGGCAACAAACTGTTAGTAGCATTACCGCCACTTACTACCTGGCTCCCTCGCTCTGCCCCGCTCGGTTTTCAAAACTAATCAGTCTCAGTCGCTCTCGCGTCATCTCGTGCTGCATTCACTGCAGTCCGACATTGGAAATTAGCTGTCGCAATTCTCAAATTATCCATAATTTATAAACCTCGCCACCCCTACCGCCAACTGGGGTGGCAGCTGGGGTGGCAAGGCTGTCATTTAGGGTGGCAGTTGCCACCCTATGCCACCCCAGTAGATCCGCCTATGTGTGTATGCATTAGAGGTGAGTATTGGCATGAGTGTTGCGATTCGATACATGTCGCGATATTTGGGTCACGATACGATATTATCATGATATTGCACTATCACTATATATTGCCATATTTTCCCCAGCTATCAAAATCAAATGATGAGATAAAACAGCAAGTGCTGTATATTTTTATCAGAAAATATTGATTAGGTATTATTATCCATGTTGTTTGGGGTTTTCTTCCACTGTGACTGCCTCTAATACAGATTTGGTGCTGCACGCATAGTTAAAGGGCTCCACAGCGCTTTCTGCCAGATTGGTGGTGCAGAGGTAGCCCATTTTCCCATCAATGTTTTATGTAACTATTTATTTTTTTTTTATCGATACTAAGAAGTGAAAGATCGATATTATATTGGGCAGCCGAATATCACGATATATCGCCAAAACGACTTTTTCCCACACCCCTAGTATGCATGCCTGACAACGTCGGGGCATGCTCCTAATGAGACAACGGATGGCGTCCTGGGATATCTCCTTCCAGATCTGGACCAGGGCATCACTGAGCTCCTGGACAGTCTGAGGTGCAACCTGGCGGCATCGGATGGATTGAAAGATAATGTCCCAAAGGTGTTATTGGATTTAGGTCAGGCGAGCGTGGGGGGGCCAATCAATGGTATCAATTCCTTCATCCTCCAGGAACTGCCTGCATACTCTCGCCACATGAGGCCGGGCATTGTCGTGCACCAGGAGGAACCCAGGATCCACTGCACCAGCATAGGGTCTGACAATGGGTGCAAGGATTTCATCCCCATACCTAATGGCAGTCAGGGGGCTGTTGTCTAGTGTTTATAGGTCTGTGCGTCCCTCCATGGCTATGCCTCCCAGACCATCACTGACCCACCACCAAACCGGTCATGCTGAGCGATGTTACAGGCAGCATAACGTTCTCCACGGCTTCTCCAGACTCTTTCACGTCTGTACCATGTGCTCAGGGTGAACCTGCTCTCATCTGTGAAAATCACAGGGCGCCGGTGGCGGACTTGCCAATTCCGGTGTTCTGTGGCAAATGCCAATCGACCTCCTAGGTGCCGGGCAGTGAGCACTGGGCCCACTAGAGGATGTCGGGCCATCAAGCCACCCTGGTGAAGTCTGTTGTTGTTGTCTGTTGTTTGTTCAGAGACATTCACACCAGTGGCTTGTTTGAGGTCATTTTGTAGGGCTCTGGCAGTGCTCCTCCTGCTCCTCCTTGCCCAAAGGAGCAGATACCGGTCCTGCTGATGGGTTGTAGACCTTCTACGGCCCTGTCCAGCTCTCCTGGAGTAACTGTCTGTCTCCTGGAATCTCCTCCATGCTCTTGAGATTGTGCTGGGAGACACGGCAAACCTTCTGGCAATGGCATGTATTGATGTGCCATCCTGGAGGACTTGGACTGCCTGTGCAACCTCTGAGGGTCCAGGTAACGCCCCATGCTAACAGTAGTGACAGTGACCCTAACCAAATGCAAAACTGGTGAAAAAAAATCAGAAAAGATGAGGGGAAAAAATGTCAGTGGCCTTCACCTGTAAAACCATTCCTGTTTTGAAGGTCATCTCATTGTTGCCCCTCTAGTGCACCTGTTGTTAATTTCATTAACACCAAAGCAGTTGAAACTGATTAACAACCCCCTCTGCTACTTACATAACCAAATCATTATCCCAGAAGTTTAATTAACTTGATACTACACTCTGATTACAAAGTGTTCCTTTAATTTTTTTGAGTAGTGTATTAATGTATCAGTCAAATCTCTCACCTTGGGCGGTAACATTGTTTAATTCAAATAAATGTGAAAAAGAAAGCTGAGCGATATCTTACATGATCAACGGCCATAATCCCAAGAGCCAAGTTCACTGCAAAAACACAAACATATTTTAAATGAATCCAACGGTTTATTTGGCAAATACTTCAACCATAAACTTTAAGCAAAACTCAACCTTTTATTTTGTTTTCAGCTGAACTACGAAACTAAGATAAAGTTACTGTTACTAACAATTCCACAAGTATGGGACCCTGCAACTAACTCTTGTTTTCCTAATAGATTTTATCAGTTGAGTATTTATATATTTTAATAATCTGATAGCATTAGGCTTTGTAGTTTTTACTGTTGCTTTCCCTGCATAATCTTTACCAGAAGAAGCTAAAACTAAGTCACTTTAATTCTGGATAGGGCTGGGCGATATAGGATTTTAACATTTCACAATATTGTTCTTCATTTCAAGCGATATCAATATATCATGATATAAAATGAATCACAATATTTGTCAAGTTTACATGTTCCATAGCTCATTAGTGAGATTCAATTCAGTTTATTTATATAGCGCCAATTCACAACACGTTATGTCAAGGCACTTTACAGTTCAATCAGATCATACAGTTAAATTGATTAAAAGTTTCCTATCTAAGGAAAACCGGTTGACTTTATCAACTCATTGACTCGAAGGCAATCCCTCACATCGAGCATGCTTGAAGCGACTGTGGAGAAGGAAAAAACTCCCTTTTAACAGGAAGAAATCTCCAGCAAAATCAGTCACGGTGTGAGCGGCCATCTGCCGAGGCCAACTGGGGTTCAAGGAGACAGAAGTAGATGTACAAAAAGAAGTAGACTCTTAAGGCAACTTTCAACCAGCTCCACAGGTGGCTCCGTCCATGAAACATACAGCTTGACAGACGAGCTCCAAGCCAGAATGAAGAGAGCACATACAATTAGTCACAATCAGAGAAACGGGAATACTCTGAAAAACAGGCCAAGCTCCAACATCCAAACAAAGGCAAACAATCATATCTCTGATGTAAGATGGAGCTTGGCTATTTAAGGTTCTATATGTGAAAAGGAGGATTTCATATTCTATTCTGAGTTTAACAGGAAGCCAATGGAGAGAAGCTAAGATAGGAGATATATGATCTCTATTTTTGATTTTAATCAGAACTCTGGCTGCAGCATTTTGGATCCACTGAAGACTTTTAACTACAGTTTGTGTGTGGACTTCCTGATAGTAAAGCAAAACAATAGTCAAGCCTTGCGGTAACAAATGCATGGACTAGTTTCTCAGCATCACCCCTGCACAGGATATTTCTAATTTTTGCAATATTCCGCAGATGAAAGAAGGAAATTCTAGAAACTTATTTGATATGAGATTTAAATGACGGGTCTTGATCAAAAATAATACCAAGATTTTTTACTTTATTATCCGAGATCAATTTAATCCCTTTCAAATGAAGTGACTGACTTTGTTTTTTCAAAGACTCTGATCCAAAGACTATAACTTCTGTTTTGTCTGCATTCAGGAGCAGAACGTTAAGAGTCTGCCAGGTTTTTATGTCTTTTTATGTCTAATACATGCCTGTAATCTATGTAATGGGTAAGCTTCATCTGGATTTATAGGCAGATATAGCTGAGTATCATCAGCATAACAGTGGAAATTTGATCCAAATAAGTCCATTATCTGTGGCCCTGAGAATATCATCATTGACTTTCACTAGAGCTGTTTCAGTGCTATGATTAGCTCTAAAGCCAGACTGAAACTCTTCAAAAAGTTCATTATGGTGTTAGTTGTCACACACTTGGTTGGAACTACTTTCTCAAGAATTTTAGGTAAGAAAGGGAGATTAGGTATAGGTTTATAATTGACCAAGTCATCTGGGTCTTAAGCAAAGGTTTAATTAAAGCAACCTTAAAAGCCTTTGGTACACATTCCTCTAACAGGGAGGGATTAATCACATCTAAAATGGAAAACAAGATTAAAGGTAATACCTCCTTAAATAACCTGGTTGGAACTGGATCTAACATACAAATTGAAAGCTTAGATGAAGACAATAGTTTTGCTAACTCTAAGTTCAACTGGATCAAAGCAGTCTGATTCTATGGTTACCTCAAGCCCCTGTCACACCTTGATGATTTAGCCAGTGTGTGCCTTATGTACGAAAGATCTGGCAAAGACACTGGCATTTGTTGGATAAGTTATGTTTTGTCAGTGTTAGTATTGTATAAGGTATGAGCACGCTGAAGTCGCTGGCATACGTCAACACATTTGAGCATGTTCAAAATTTCTTGATGTACGCCAGCATATGCCATAACGTGGGCAATAAGTTACAGGCAAGTTATTTGATTGGTGACATAGGTTAAGTGTAAGTTATTCATGGTGTCTAGCTTATCCAAAACCTATGAGTAACTTTTGCATAACCTATGCGCAACTTATAAAGAACTTATCTCCAACGCATAGCAACGTATTTGATGTGTTCCAGACGACGGCTTAGCATGTTTCTAACTTACAGCTACTGTATAATGGTGTGTTGACAGTGTTTTGGTATGAAAGTGGGTTCACAGGAGGAAGCCATCAGTACTCCTCCACGCTTCAAACGTTATACAAGATATTGAGGATCCAGCAATGCTGAGACGGGCATACATACTAGCTGTCCCCCAACATCAGCATGACCTCATCAATTTGACTCTGTTCCAGTTGTAGGGTGAGCAAGAAGAAAAAAGGACCAGTATGAGAACCTCTACGACACACAGGATGGTAAGTACACCATTTCCACATTATTTATGCTTCAGTAAACGAAAAATCAGAAAATATTTTTTTTCTTCTTTAAATGACGTTGTAGCTAAGCCTACCTCTGTAAACTGCCTCTTCATGTTTCTGGGTTTAAATTGTCAGCACATGCCCAGTGTTTTTGTCTGTTTTTTAGGTGTGATTCTGTGGTAGTGTTACAGTTCCACTAAATGACCCGGTATATGTACTACAGTGTCTTCATCATTGTTGATGTGTACAATTAAGACTGGTATGTACTGCATCTTTGGTGCAACCTTCAGTCAAGGAAACACCTTATGACACCGAAAGAACTGCACCATCTTTCTATAAATATTGCTGCAAGCTGCATGTGAACCTTTCAGACACTAGTTTACAGTTTGTAAAAAGCACTTAAATAACTCATTACTAAATTTGCTTAAAATATCTCAACAGATTAATCATGATTAATCGAATTTTTTAAGCCTTAGAACATAGTTTAAAATATGAATTGTTGGCTAAATTAACTGTGCTATTTGCTTCCTGAAGAGAAACTTTGATCATTCATTTAGTTCAACAAAAAACTGGAATACTTAAGGGAAATTTTATCCAAAACATATATCTATTTTTGTGTGATAAAGATCTAAATGAAAATTCTTTAATGTTTCTGCAGAAAAGTTTGGTAGTACCTGCTGTTGTGGACTTGCCCACGCCGCCTTTTCCTGAAGCAACAACAATCACCTGTTTGACACCTGGTATGGGTTTCTGCTTAGGAAGACTCCTGGCCATTTGCTGCTTCTGTCTGTCCTGCAGTCCTTTATTGTCCACCAATCCCTATGACATAATAACAAAGAGAAACCACTTTCACACCCATTACAGTAGGGCTATGATTTTCATAACTAATATACACAAAACATAAAAAAAATCTAAATAGTGACAGGGAGGTTCTGGAAGGAGTCAGAATGGTTAACGGTTTATGGGGTTACAGTTCTACATGTTTTAATGATACTGTATAAATAAACTAAATTAAATATATATATTTTTTTTTTTCCAAAGTGCCAATGTATTACACATCACCTCATGGCCCTTTACAGAGACAATTCAACACGATCATACAGTCGGATATCAGGAAAACCAAAAGATTGCATCACGCAGTCTACCTGGATGAAAATGTGGTGACAGTAAATATTCACCTGCATGGTGTGATGGACTTGACGACAGTCCCTCACAATGAGTATGCATGCAGCGAGATGAAAAATTCCCTATTAAAAGGTACAGCTCACATTGATATGCCATGCTGGATGAGCCACTTGTGTGGGTTGTAGAGTCTGTCTCATGCTAAGTGTAAAAGTACCACCAACACTAAAAAACATTAAGCCAGAGATTATAGGTACTGAGAAGTGGTCTGTGGTCCCCACTAGCAGAACCCATCCTTTATTGAGTGTGTTTGCTGATTGCCAATAATATCTGCCTGTTGTCTATTCCATTTGCACAACAGCATGGGAAACTGGTTGTCAATCAGTCTTGCTTCCTAAGCGGACAGTTGGATTTTACAGAAGTTTTATTTCATTGAAGTTATATTGTGCTGTTTGTGTTACCTTTATTTTTTTTTTAAGCAGTGAAGTTATTAATAACTATTGGCCTTGCAGAAATCAAATGCTTACATAATCAGATAAACAGATAAAGCCATCATCATATTCTTTAGAGACCTTCACTTCTGGAACAGACTCAAGTCTTTAAAAAAGAGAACTGTAAATCTGCCAGAATTAGCAAACAATATTAGGACTTTTCACACATGACAAACAGGTTTTGCTGAAAGTCTGTCTGAGACCCTAAATTCAGAAGGATAACCGTTTTGGACAATAATATCTACGCACTAGTGATGGGTCCCAGCAAAACTGATGCATCAGCGTATGTTTTGAGTAATAGTCTCTATGTCAGTGTGCGTATAGTTTCAAGAAAGCATTTTAGTTTTATTTTAATTTAGTTTGTTGCAACGATTTTACAGTTTGAAGAAATAGGATTTTACAGTTTGAAGAAATAGAAATTTACACCATATGCCAACCGTCACAAGGATGTGCATGACAAGGAACGGATATATATACTGCATGCAACATTTAAGTAGTTAACATTGTATTATTTATTGAGCTCTTCAAGTTATTTACTGTCACAGGTAGGAGCTTTGGCCGGAGAGTAAGTGTTGGGGCCGGTATGATTTAAGGAGGGCCACCCCTCGCACGCTGAAATTAGGAACAGCCCACCGGGAAAATGCCCGGTATCACAGATTACCAGTCCGAGCCTGAAGTCAGGTGACCAATACCGACGCCGTTTCAAAATGACTGAAACACTAAAACTGTGCTTGTAAGCGCATCTGTGAACGGAATGCATCTACGAAAAAAATCTTTGTTCTTTTGCTTTTCATTTTGAAACTCATGAGGAAATATGTTGCAGCCTTAAAGGAATAGTACACCCAAAACATGATTAGCCTTCATTTTCTACTCACCCCCCTGCTGAACAAAACTCTGGAGTACTTTTTTGATATCTCAAATGCATCTGGAGATCTGGGAGGCTTCTTGCTGTCTGCTGACATTCAAATAATGGAGGTCTATGGCGCCCGAGACAGAAAGGTCCATAAAAGTCCATAAAAACGTGTCAATATTCCTCCATACTGCTCGTCCAATGTATTCCAAGTGTCCTGAGTGGGTAGCGTCCATAATTTACTCGAAACTAAGTCATTTAGAATGTTTTTAGAGCATAAACAGTAGTGTATAGGATTTCCTAATAGCGCCCCCATGCGCGCTCACGACGCTACGGAAGCCGGCAGACCAAACCAGCGCATTCAGCTCGGCAAAGAACTCATGCTCTTCCTCAACACTGAAGTCCTCAGACATTTTTCTTTCGTTGTTTCTTTCTTTGCACAGGTAAACAGCACATTTCTTCTTCTACGCTTGCATTATTGGCAGAGCAGACGCTGAATGCGCACTTCCTTCCGGTTTGGTCTGCCGGCTTCCGTAGAATCGTGAGCGCACATGGGGGCGCTATTAGGAAATCCTATACACTACTGTTTAGGCTCTAAAACGTTCTAAATGACTTCGTTTCGAGTAAATTCTGGATGCTACCCACTCAGGACACTTGGATTACATTGGACGAGCAGTATGGAGGAATATTGACACGTTTTTGTGGACTTTTGTGGACCTTTCTGTCTCGGGCGCCATAGACCTCCATTATTTGAATGTCAGCAGACAGCAAGAAGCCTCCCAGATCTCCAGATGCATTTGAGATATCAAAAAAGTACTCCAGAGTTTTGTTCAGCATGGGGGTGAGTAGAAAATGAAGGCTAATCATGTTTTGGGTGTACTATTCCTTTAAGACAAAATAAAGGTTTCAGCCGTGTGGGACCATTTTCATCTCATATTTGTTTTTGATTTTCTCATTGTGTCATCCTGTTCCTCACAGTTATCACTCAAGTTATCTGATTTTTATGAAATTTAAATTGACATTTAGTTTACCGTACTTCCTGTACTCATGTGGTATATGTTTACGGTAGTCCACAATCATCCTCATTGAAATGTTCACCTAAATGTTCACGTTATTTATGGATTGCATCTAAAAAAATCAAACATATTTTCATATAAACAAGGATATTAAATAATACGATATGACACAGAATGGCTTAAATTCCAGTATTACCAGGTCATCAAGTCAGTGTCCGTTTAGTCTGTCAAATAGGCTGCATGTAGGGATTTTAAAAGTCCAGCAGGTGTCAGTATTGAGTGACATTGTATCAACGCAGTCTTCATACAGTTTGGAAATGTGTCGAAACGCTTCACGAAGCACCATCAACCCACCACTACTACACACATTAAAAGCCCTAGTCGTTTGAGTATTTTATGTCCTTTTTTATTGTTCTATTTTATTTTCTGCTCTTTCATTCAGCCAACAAAACTGCCACAAAAAAACCAGTAAGCTAGCCTCCCAGCTACCAGGGGGTCAAATTAAACACAAGGTAAAAAAACAAAACACAAACATTACCCGATAGCAAGTCAGATGCACCCCACAACCAGTTCCGAGTTTTATCTCAGTTGCATTTTGGAACATTGATGCGTTTCGGCTTGATATTTTCAGTAAATGGGACAGTCTGCAGTATGTGAAAAGAGGCATGTTTACTGCGCATCAAGAAGAAGAAGAAGAAGAAGAAGAAGAAGAAGAAGAAGAAGAAGAGGAGGAAGAAGAAACTAAGGTTTATTTTGAAAGTCAATACCGGAAGTTTTACTTGAACTCCGATAAAATAAAATAGATAAAAACGGCTCAAACACCAACGGGAATTTTTTTTTTTTCCTAAAACCTCTAACGATCTTCGAAAGGAAATTAACATTGAGGTATGAATTAATAACTTCCCTCTGACATCATTGATGACTACACTCCAGTCTGGTAGGTGGGGGTAAATGCACCTTAAGTTGGTTGCCATACACCAATAAAAAAACATAAGAAGAAGACTTTCTTCTTTTTTTTTTTTTTTACTTTTAACACCATTTTATTAACACAATTCAAATATATAAACAATAGACGTAAAACAAGTGTCAGTTAAAAATCACTATTAAGATATAAACAAGTGTCAGTTAAAATCATTAAATGAGGAGCTTGATGAAATGTAGATTTCCATCATCTGACACAGTACATAAAATGTTTTTAAAACCCCACAACTAATAAAATCGTCCATGTTCTGTGTGGCTCTGTGGAAGTAAAACTCCAGCCTTAATCTGGCTTTAACGTTGCACTTCCACAGAGCTGCAACATCAAGGTGAGATCCTTCCTGCAGTCTGTCTCTACAGGACAGGTAAATGGCCATTTTTGCTTCGCTGTTTGAAAAATTTAAAAATCATGCCTTTGACTTATTCCTTCTGTTTTGACAAACTCCCCCTATAAAAACGGTCCAAAAAAGACTAAAAACACTGATTAAAAATGGTCCTTAGCCTTACACATTCCGTAAAAACGTGGAACACGTTTTCAGACAGACCACAGACACAGGACACTCATTTAAAACACTCCAATTAATAACTGATAAAAACGAGTTTGTGGCAATGGAGCCGTGTAAAATCCTACATTGGAGATCACCGGTTCGTTTTTTTGATCGGAGGCTTGTATAAAGTCCTCCACTGGGGTGCTTTTCCATGAAGTTTTTCAGTCCATTAGAGACCGGCCAGTTCTGAAGGTGTCGTTGGTTAATGACTTTTGCGCAGCAGTGGTAAAGGGCTTTCTGGTCCATAGTCGATAAAACCATTCTCTGTGGGTCCAGGCTGGAGAAGAAGAAGACTTTGACTTTTAACATTACTTTATTTACACAATTCAAACATATCAACAATTGACGTAAAACAAGTGTCAGTTAAAAATCACTATTAAAGTAAAAACAAGTGTGAGTTAAAATCATTAAATGAGGAGCTTGTTAAAATGCAGTTCTCCATCATCTGACACAGAACATAAAATGTTTATAAAACCTCACAACTGAATAAAATCCTCCATGTTCTGTGTGGCTCTGTGAGAGTGAAACTCCAGCCTGATCCTGGCTTTAAGGCTGCACCTCCACAGAGCCACTGCGTCAAGGTAAGGTCTCTCCTGCAGTCTGTCTCTACGGGACAAATAAATAGCTATTTTAGCTTCACTGATTAAAAACTTTAAAAGTCTGGCCTTTGCCTTGTTGCTTTTGCTTTGACACACTCCTCCAATAAATAGGGAAGTTGTAAAAACGGTGCCAAAAAGACTAAAAACATTTGTTAAAAGACTAAAAATGGTCTTTAGTCTGACGCAATCCATAAAAACATGAAAAACATTTTCAGACAGACTGCAGAAGGGACACTCGTTTAAAACACCCCGATTAATGACGGATAAAAACGAGTTCTCATTTGGAGATCGCCTGTGTCATGATGGGTTGTGTTACTAGCCCAAATGCAGGACACACACAGAGGCAGAGGGAAAGTCCAAAGGTTTATTGAACACAGACTGGGTTCTTCCTGGAGGGCAGAGAGGACAAAAACAGGTTAGGTTCAGGTTAACAGGGAGTCAAGATTCAGGCAGGCAGGTTGGCTCAGGCTTGCTAACCATAACTGGCAAACAATCTGGCAAGGAGTGAAGTTCTCCTCCAGCTTAAGTAGTTCCTCTTGATGAGCAGATGGGGAACAGCTGTTGCAGGTGAGCACAAGCTCTCAGAAAGGGATCCACGGCGCCCTCTGGTGGGCAAACCTCTGGATCCCAACAGTACCCCCCCTCAAGGGCGGATTCCAGACGCCCCAGATCAGTCCAATAGAAAAAAAAAAAAAAAAACATCCAGGGTGGGCGGAGTGAGAACCAGGCAAGGAGGGCAAGAAAGTCTCTAGAGGTTGAATCTCAGGAGGCCGGCCATGGGGCCGCAGACGAGACAGAGTCTCAGGGGGCCGGCCGCGGGGCCGGAGGCGAAGCAGACGCTCTAGGGGCCGGCCGCGGGGCCGGAGGCATGACAGACGTTCTGGAACAGGCTCGGAGGGGGCCACGGACTGCGGCTCAGGAGCAGACCCAGAGGTAACCGCCGACTGCGGTTCAGGAACCGGCTTGGACTGGACCGCCCATTGCGGCTCCGGAACAGGAACAGAGGAGCCCGCCAAATGCGGCTCCGAATCAGGAACAGAGGAGCCCGCCGATTGCGGCTCCGAATCAGGAACAGAGGAGCCCGCCGATTGCGGCTCCGAATCAGGAACAGAGGAGACCGCCGATTGCGGCTCCGAATCAGGGGTCTTTGGAAGACACAGAGCGGGCTCAGGGGTCTCCAGACGGCTCAGAGCGGGCTCAGGGGTCTCCAGATCACGTAGTGTCAGCAGTGATTTGTAATATCCCCTGTTGCTCACCTGTGAGTTTCAGTGAGTGGGTGATGTCTACTTTTTGCTGACCACTTTAAGCTTTGGATGTTTTTTTTTGTTCTCTTTTGGGCTTGATCACGGATCGAACCTGTGGATTTATTTTTTCTTGTTTGCTGCATTGCATGTTTTGAAGATCAATAAAAGAAAAGTATCTGAACTGCATCTTGGACTGACCTTTTGAGCGTGCCAACAAGGATTCCCCTGCAGAAAAGTATCTTGAAGTTAAAGATCGAAACTAGGAAATGGTGGAAAGCATGATGGGAAAACCAATAGGACCATCAGAAACTGGCAGAGTGACAATAACTAGTGATGGGTCTGACGACACTGAAACCTCGGTGCATGCGCCGAGCAAACAGGGTGAAGCCCCGTGTCGGGGCGCGTATCTCGTTAAGGAAAACCACGTGACCGATATAGTTCCTGTGTCTTTTGATTGTGATCGCGTCAAATTGTATTTATAAACAGAAAATGTATCGACACGTGGGTTTTGTTGGATGGAGATAGCTTGTATTGTTTGCTTTGCATCGGTTTTTTGGCTTGTCATTTAAAACTATGGATCAACCAAGGAAGAGGAAGTTTTCTCCCGTGTGGGATCATTTTGAATAAGGTGATATATAAGTGATATAGCTCAGCTCACTACAAATGATTATAAAATCATAGAGGTCTCCTCTATGATTTTATAATCATTTGTAGTGAGCTGAGCTATATCTGTGTGCTTGCTCCATTTAATCAAGCGACAGTGGAGCTGTCTGAGCAAAAAGAGTGTCTGGATCAAAGGTAATCCCAATGCTCAAAATGTGGCACCACTAACAACAACGCAATGCATTAAATGTAACCATAGAAACCACAATCAATCTTGTGGAAAACCTGAAAAGAAGACTGCTAGAAACTCTGTCCAACCTTGAGTCATGAAGCGTAATGACAATACCAACACTGCTGGACCCTCGGTTCAAGGCGATGGCATTCTTAGGTGCGACAAAAGCCAACGATGCAGTGAAAAGACTAAAATCAGAGTGTGTGCGGCAGTAATGAGAAACGCTGTACCGACACAAATGGAAGATGCCAAAGCTGGACCTACAACTCAACCATCTCCTTCCAATCCAGGTATGTTATGATTCCTAATTGTGTTCATTTGTATTTTAATGTTCATACAAATCACTCCATGTGAATACAATGAATAAGTAACACAGATGCATTTTATTGTTTCCTCAGATGACAACCTGTGGCACCCGCTGGACATGAAAGTCAAGGAGAGCAAGGCCAATTCAAATGTCACCACCGATGCCATTTTCGAGGTACAAAGATACATCTCAGAGGAGAACACACTAAGATCACAGGATCCACTACAATACTGGAAATTTCAAAGACTAAATTACCCTACCTTGTACAAACTTGCAATGACATTTCTATGTACGCTGTCATCATCACTGCCCTGTTAAAGGGTGTTCTCAAAAGCAGGAGAAAAGGTTTGTAAGCGGCGCAATCACCTTGGCCCAAATAGGTTAACGCAGCTGATGTTTCTAAATAAAAATGTGTCAATGAACCTCGTTCAGTCTGTTTCCAGTCTTTATTGAAGTTGCCTGCAATTATTTTTTTAATCCAGCAGATGTCGCCATTAAGTGATACAGCTACACAGTTTCAACACAGTGTCGACACAATTTGGGAAATGTGCCATACGCCTCATCTGCCCATCACTAACAATAACCTAAAGATAAATCAGAAATTATGTGGGCAAATATGATTAAGTATTTATTATGTTGGGTTCAGTTAATTATATATATAGATATATATATATATATATATATATATATATATATATATATATATATATATATATATATATATATATATTTTATTTTATTTTTTTTCTTGGGGTGAGTCGTTTACTGTTTCCTTGCTTTACTCCTTATCAGTTGGTGGCGGTAATGCACTTTACACTAGTTTACCAACCGCCATAAAACCTCACACGAAGAAGAGGAAGAAAGGTATCCCAGAATTTAATATTAAAAAATGTAAGAGGATTTCTGATGACGTATCAGTGTTTACAGGGGAAATGATGGGAATTATTTTGGCTTTGAGTTGGATTGAAGATGTTCGTCCTTTAAGAAGTTTAATTTGCTCTGATTCAAGCTCATCATTATATTCAATTAAAAATAATCATTCCAATAGTAGACCAGACCTTCTATTGGAGATTCAGTTAATACTTTATAGAATTCAGACTATGGGATTAATTGTCATTTTTACATGGGTTCCATCTCATATAGGAGTAATAGGTAATGAATTGGCAGACAGATATGCAAAACAAGCTTCAAAAAACAGTTGCATTGAGATACTGATTCCATTTAGTAAAGAGGAGATAAAATCTATTATAAAACAAAAGGTTAAGGAAAGATGGCAGAAGCAGTGGGAGGAGGAAAGGACTGGTAGATGGCTTTATAGCATTCAAAGGAAAGTTGGGGTAATGAGGGGAACAGGAAGAAGTAGAAAAGATAATATCATATCCAGGTTACGTTTTGGTCATACAGGCTTAAACAGTACATTATTTATAATGGGAAGACATCCATCAGGAAATTGTGAATTTTGTTTTCAAGAAGAGACAGTAGAACATGTTTTGTTGTTTTGTCCAAAGTACTCTGAGGAGAGAAGGAAATTAGAATAGCGACTTCTAAAGAATAAGTTACAATTAAAAATATCAGATATGTTGGGATATTGCTCCTCCTCTGAATATTTACGTCATTTATTAAGATTTATTAAGAAAACTAAACTGATAGAAAGGATTTAGTTTTTTTTTGTTTTTTTTTAAGTTGCGTCCTGATCCACACTCCTTACCAGTAGGTGGCGGTAATGCACACCAATAAGTTGCTTGTCAACCGCCATTAAACAAGAAGAAAGAAAGAAAGGAAGAAAGGTATTAAGGTGGGGTGAGGGGAAGAAGGCGTGCAGCGAGCAGGAGAAGGTCGTTGGTTGTGCTTGGAGCGGAGGTTTTTCGGAGAAAAAACTGCCCAGGGAAGAAGGCGGAAAATCAAATTACAAATTGAAATTGTCAAAGGCGGATTGAGCATAAACTGGTATGTGAATGGTTCGGTTGGTAATGGAGTTAGGAGATGAGGAAGATATGGGTTTTGATGGGTGGACGCCAGTGGGGAGAGGAAGAGGGAGAGGACGTGAAAGAAACAAAAAAGACGAAGGAAAGGGAATGAGTGAAAGTCAAGGAAGTAAACGAGAACTGGAAGAAAGTAGCTCAGAGGAAGAAAGGATAGTTAGGAGGAAAGTTGTACGAGAGGAATTTAAAATAATATTAAAACTAAAAAATGAGGAAGGACAAGATAACATTAGCCCCATTGTGGTGTCAAGAGAAATAAAAAAGAAAATTGGGGATGTTGAAATGGTAAAGATGTTGAGAGATGGGAATCTGTTGGTGGTTTGTAAAAACGAAGAACAAAAGAACAAGGCTCTTAACGTGGAGAGTATTTGTAAAAAGAATGTGTTAGAGAAAAGAATCATTGGAGAAAATAAAAAAACTAGAGGAGTGATTTATGGGATCCCTCTAGATGAAGATCTTGATAAAATCAAGAAAAGTGTAGTTGGTGCCAAAGTGAGTAACTTAAAGAGACTGTCAAAAACAATAAACGGGGAAAGAGTAGGGAGTCTGTCAATACTCATGGAATTCGAAGAGAAAGAATTACCACTAAACATCAAAATAGGTTATCTCAGTTTTCAGGTCAGGCCTTATATCCCTCCACCACTTCGTTGCTTTAAATGTCAAAGATATGGTCACATAGCAGCAGTTTGCAAAGGAAAGCAGAGATGTCCAAAATGTGGAGAAGATCACAAATTAGAAGAGTGTAAAGAAGAAGTACAAGAAAAATGTTGTAACTGTGGAGGGAATCATAGAGTTACATTCGGAGGATGTGAAGTCAGGAAGAAAGCAAAAGAAGTCACTCAGATTAAAATGACCAAAAATATAAGCTATGCAGAGGCAGTTAAAAATGTGAAAGAACAGAAAATAAGAGAGGTTGAAAAAACGAGGCAAATTCCACTGCAAAGTGAGACACAGACAGAGGAAAAGATCGTGATACCAGTAGAAAAACTAATATTATTCATGGCATATGTCATCAACTGTACTGACCAAGCCAAGAATAAAACGGAGAAGATTAAAATTATAGTGAGGGGAGCGGAAAAGTTTTTGGGGTTTAAAGAGGGATCATGGGAGAGCATAAACAAAAAATTGGAGGTAGACGGGAAGCCAGGAACGTCTGGTGGAAATAATTCATGTTAATACTACAATGGAATGCAAGAAGTTTGATTGCTAACGGACAGGAACTTAAAGGATATATTGATAGTCTTGAGGAAAAACCAGAAATTATTTGTATTCAAGAAACATGGCTAAAAGAAACGTTGGATTTTGTGATTAACGGATATGGTAGTGTAAGAAGAGATAGGCAGGAGGGAGGAGGAGGTGGATGTGGTATATTTGTAAAAGAAGGGATACAATATCAGGTTTTAGGGAAAGGGAAAGAACTTGAATATATAATAATTGAAATTTGGGAACAAGGTGGTAAAGTTAAAATAATAAATTTTTATAATCCATGTAAATTATTATCAATTGAAATAATGGAGGAATTAACTGAATATTTGGAAGGAAATGTAATTTGGTGTGGGGATTTTAATGCTAATAGTACATTATGGGGTAAATGTAATGATAGAAATGGGAAAATAATAGAAGAATTAATAGAAAGTAAAAATCTTGTATGTATTAATGATGGGAGGGGAACTAGACTTAATATAAGAACAGGGATGGAATCAGCTATTGATTTAACAATAGTCTCAAATGGGTTAGCTAGTAATTGTGAATGGATCATTGATAAAAATACAACAATAGGTAGTGATCATTATCCCATTACAATAAAAGTAGGATTAAATATAAATAATAAAAATAGAAAGGTCAGTAAAAAATGGGATTTTAATAAAGCAGATTGGATTAAATTTAGATTTTTAAGTCAAATAAAATTAGAAAAAGTGGATATGGAAATGAATATAGATGATATAAATTTAAAAATTTGTGAGATAATCTTGGAAGCAGCAGATAAATCTGTGAAGAAAGTAGGCTGTAAAAATTCTAAGAAAATAGTACCATGGTGGACAAATGAATGTAAAGAAGCAATAAAAGCAAGAAACAAAGCATTTAAGGTATTAAGAGGTAACTTAAAGTATGAGAATTTAATTGATTATAAAAGAAAGCAAGCTATGGTAAGGAGAATAATTAAGAATACAAAGAGAGAATACTGGAGAAATTTTTGTAGCACAATAGGGAAGGAAACAAAAATAGAAAAAATTTGGAAAATGATTAGAAGAATGAATGGCATTAAAAGAGAATTCGAATATCCTATATTAAAAGTAGATAATATAAATATAGTTAAAGACGATGATAAAGTAGAAATATTGGCAAGAACATTCAGTAAAATCCACAGTTCTGACAATATTAGTGAGGAGGGTAGAAAAGGAAGAGAAAATACAAAACTCAAATATAAAGATGTGTTGCAGAATGAAGAAGAAGCAAATAATTTGTTAAATGTTGAATTCACAAAAGCTGAATTGAACTCTACATTTACAAAACTTAAAAATACAGCACCAGGGAAAGATAAAATATGGTATAGAATGATAAGTCAGCTCAGTGAAAAATCTAAAGGGATAATATTGGAATTTTATAATAAAATTTGGGAGGAGGGGAAATTACCAATGGAATGGAAAGAATCAATTATAGTACCAATAGCAAAACCAGGGAAAGATAAATCAATACCAGGAAATTATAGACCAATAGCTTTAACATCAAATTTGTGTAAAATAATGGAAAAAATGATTAACAATAGACTAATATTTTATTTAAATAGCAAGGGGTATATAGTAAATTATCAAAGTGGATTTCGAAAAGGGCGGAGTACTAATGATCCAACATTATGTCTAGAGCATGAAATTAGAAAGGCACAAGTTAATAAAGAAAATGTGGTGGCAGTATTTTTTGATATAGAAAAAGCGTATGATATGATGTGGGTAGAGGGATTATTAATTAAACTATATAGGTTGGGCATTAAAGGAAAGATATATCAATGGATTAAAGACTTTTTACTAAATAGGAAAATTCAAGTTAGAATCGGTGAAGTAACATCAGGAGTATATAGAGTAGAGAACGGTACACCACAGGGGAGTATAATAAGTCCGTTATTGTTCTCTATTATGATAAATGATATTTTTAAAGGTATTGATAAAGAAATGGGATGTTCACTCTTTGCGGATGATGGAGCGGTTTGGAAAAGAGGGAAGAATTTAGATTTCATTGTTAAAAAATTACAAGATGTTATTAATGAGCTAGAGAGATGGGCATGGCAATGGGGATTTAAGTTTTCAGTCGAAAAAACAAAAGTAATGGTATTTACTAGGAAAAAAATAAACAGGGAAGTAAAATTAAAATTATATAGTCAAGAGTTAGAGCAAGTAAAATGTATTAAATTTCTAGGATTATGGTTTGATGATAAACTAAAATGGAATGTACATATCCAGAAAGTTGTTGATAAAAGTAAGAAAATCTTAAATATTTTGAGATGTTTGGCTGGAAATGATTGGGGAGCAGATAGGCAATCTTTGAAACAGGTTTATACAGGTATGATAAGAGCTAACATAGATTTTGGTTGTATTGTTTACGGTTCAGCAGCAAAAGCACATTTGGTTAAACTAGAGGTAATACAACATCAAGCATTAAGATTGTGTTCTGGAGCGTTTAAAACCACACCAAGAGCAGCAATGGAAGTAGAGATGGGAGAAATGCCATTAGAATTAAGAAGATTAAGGTTGGAATTAAATTATTGGTTAAATTTGCAGAGCAATAATTCAGATCATCCAGCTATGGAAATTTTAAAACCATGTTGGGAAAAAGAAACAAAAGATATGGGGAGTCTTGGATGGACAATTGAAAATAAAATAAAAGAATTTAACATGAATAATCTGGAAATTAGTCATACAACACCAACATCAGTAATACCGCCATGGATTTTACCAGAAGCAACAGTAGATATGACAATCATGGAAAAGAAGCAGGATAAATCTTTCATCATTGATAGTAGTTCAGTACAGGTACATTTAAACAATTACTATCAGTATATTCAAATCTATACAGATGCATCAAAGATAACTGGAAAAGTAGGAATAGCGTTTGTTGTACCAGAATTCAATATAAGAATAGGAAAACGAATTACAGACGATTTATCAGTATACACAGGAGAAATGATGGCAATTTTATTGTCCTTACAATGGGTAGAAGAGATAAAACCATTAAAAACAATAATCTGTTCAGATTCAAGTTCTGCATTATTAAGTATTAAAAACAAGCAATCGGATAGTAGAATGGACATATTATTAGAAATTTTTCACACATTATATAGAATTAAAAATATGGGTGTGATAGTTATTTTTGTATGGGTTCCAGCGCATATTGGAATAGAAGGAAATGAGAGAGCAGATAAAATAGCAAAAGGGGCAATTCAAAAACCAATTAGCATTAAAGTTAAAACAAGTAAAGCTGAAGGAAAGAGTATGGTTAAGGAAAAACTGATGGAAAAGTGGCAGAAAAGGTGGGATGAAGAAATAACAGGAAGATGGTTTTATAAAATTCAGAAGAAGGTTAAAGAAAGAAGAAAGGGAAAAAGAAATAGAAAAGAGGAAAGAGTGATAACCAGGATAAGATTTGGGCATACTGGACTTAACTACTCACTTTTTAAAATTCAAAAACATGCAACTGGTAAATGTGAATATTGTGGAGAATGGGAAACAGTAGAACATGTTATTCTAGAATGTGATAAATATGAAAGAGAGAGAAGATGTATGATAAAAGAGTTTGAAAGTATTAAGGTAAAATTTATGTTAATAGATATTTTGAGGGAAAGTTTGGAGAGCAAACATATACAAATAGTTATTAGATTCTTAAAGAAAACTAAGATATTCAGTAGAATTTGATAGAGTAGACATAAGAGTGAATGTGTGGATGATAGTGATGAGTAGAATATAAATATGGATGTAAGTTTGTTTGTGTGGGTTGGTAGGTGTATGTATGAGTATATATAGATATATATATACAAAAAGAGCGTTAGACCAACGAGAGCCACACTCCATACCAGTAAGTGGCGGTAATGCTACTATTAAGTTTGTTGCCAACCGCCAATAAACACAACAAGAAGAAGAAGAAGAAAGGTATTAATGGCAAACTGTAAAATCGCTCCTATTCATATTTCGTTTAACTACGGATAGAAGCTAACTGAAATGTAAAGAAGGTCTTGACGGTGTGCGTAGTTATGTTTTCCGTCGGTCTTCTTTCATCGACCGGCTGTATGTGAGAGCTGAAACTTATCAGGTCTCTCCTTGTTCATAGAATTTTTACGGAGTGTGTTGGTTGTCAGAAGGACTAGGAGCAGCGCGCGAAAAACAAAACACGGAAATATATCGGATTTTGAAAAGGCGGATTTGGGCATAAACTAGTATGTGAATGGTTCGGTTGGCAATGGAGAAAGAAAATGAGGAAGTCATGGATTTTGAAGGGTGGGCGCCAGTAGGAGGAGGAAGAGGGAGAAATAAAACAGATGAAGGAAAGGGTGGTGATATTCGAGGAAGTAAACAAGAATTGGAAGGAATTATTTCAGAAGAAGAAAGGATAAAGTTATGAGGGAGGAATTCAAAGTAATTTTAAAACTTAAGAACGAGGAAGAACAAGATAACAGCCCCATTGCGGTGTCAAGAGAAATAAAAAGGAAAATTGGAGATTTTGAAATGGTAAAGATTTTAGAGATGGAAATCTATCGGTAGTTTGTAAAGGGAAGCAGAAATGTCAAAAATGTGAAGATCACAAGTTTGAAGAATGTAAAGAAGTACAAGAAAAATGTTGCAACTGTGGAGGGCAACATAGTTACTTATGGAGGATGTGAAGTAAGGAAGAAGGCAAAGGAAATTATACAGACTAAAATGACTAAGAACATAAGCTATGCAGAAGCAGTTAAAAATGTGAAGGAACAGAAAACGAGAGAGTGGAAAAATCAACAATTCAAATTCCAAAGCAAGACAGAGTAATAATACATTTTATTTGACAGCGCCTTTCTGGACACTCAAGGTCACTTTACAGAAAAAAAGGGAGTACAGTCGGAAGAAAATATCCCAATGTCAGTAGAAAAACTAATATCATCTGTAGAATATGTCATCAACTTTACTGACCAAGCCAAACATTAAACTGAGAAGATTAAAATAATAGTGAGAGGAGCTGAAAGGTTTTTGGGGTTTAAAGAGGGATCATGGGAGAACATAAATAAAAAGTTGGAGGTAGATGGGAGACCAGGACCATCAAGTGAAACATGTAAATATTACAAAGGAATGCAAGAACTTTAATTGCTAACAGACAAAAACTTAAAGGTTATATTGATAGTCTTGAAGAACAACCAGAAATTATTTGTGTTCAGGAAACATGGTTAAAAACAACATTAGATGTTGTGATCAAAGGATATAATACTGTAAGAAGAGATCGAGAGGAAGGAGGTGGAGAAGGATGTGTAATATTTTTAAAACAAGGGTTACAATATCACCTAGTAGGAAAAGGGAAATAAGTTGAATATACATAGTATTTAAGAAATGGGAAAAAGAAGGAAAATTGTGAATAATAAATTGGTATAATCCATGTAAAACATTATCAATTGAAATAATGAGTTAACTGAATGTTTGGAAGGGAAAGTAATTTGGCGTGGGGATTTTAATGCAAAAAGTACATTGTGGTGTAGATGTAATGATAAAAATTGACAAGTTATAGAAGAATTAATGAAAATAAAAAATCTTGTATTAATGATGGGAGGTGAACAAGAATTAATGTTAGGACAGGGATCGAATCAGTTATTGATTTAACAATTGTATCAAATGTGTTAGCTAGTATATGTGAGTGGTTCATTGATAAAAAATCAACAATAGGTAGTGATTACAATCCTATAACAAGATTTTATTTAAATAACAGAATATAAAAGTCAATAAAAAACTTAATTTCAATAAGGCAGACTGGATTAAATTTAGAGGAGACGAAGTTTTAGATTGAGTCAAATGAACTTAGGACAAGTAGATATGAGGATGGATATAAATGTGTAAGATAATCATGGAAGCAGCAGATAATTCTATAAAGAAAACAGGGTGTAAAAATGATAAAATGGTACCATGGTGGACAAATGAATGTAAGGAAGCAATACAGTTAAGAAATACAGCTTTTAAGGTAGTAAAATATAATCCAGTTTTTAAAAATTTTGTTGATTATAAAAGAAACCAAGCAATGGTAAGGAGAACTGTTAAGAATGCAAAAAGAGAATATTGGTGAAGTTTTTGTAGCACATTAGGGAAAGAAACAACGATAGAACATGTTTGGAAGATAATTAGAAAAATGAATACCATAAAGAGAGAGTTTGAAAATCCTATTTCAAAATAGATAATATAATAAAAGATGTAGATAAAGTTGAAATATTGGCAAGGACATTTAGTAAAATTCACAGCTCAAATAATATTAATGAAGAGGGAAGAAAAGGAAGAGAAAATACGAAACTTAAATATAAAGATTTATTGGAGAGTGTAGAAGAAACAAATAATTTATTGAATGCTGAGTTTACAAAAGCCGAATTAAAATATGCACTTAGGAAGACAAAAAAAAAATACAGCACCAGGTAAAGATCCAATTTGGTTTAGAATGATAAAACAACTCAGTGAAAAATCAAAAGATATAATATTGCAATTATGCAATAAAATTTGGGAGGAGGGAAAATTATGGTCGAACTGGAAGGAATCGATTACAGTACCAATAGCTAAACCAGGAAATGATAACTGTAACCCAGAAAATTACAGACCAATAGCTTTAACATCAAATTTATGCAAAATAATGGACAACATGATTAATAACAGACTAGTATATTATTCAAATAATAAAGGATATATGTCAAAATATCAAAGCAGTTTTGGAAAAGGGAGGAGTACTAATGATCCAGCGCTACATATAGAGCATGAAATTAGAAGAGCAAAAGTAAATAATATTTTTTATATAGAAAAAGCACATGATATGATGTGGGTTGAGGGATTAACAATTAAATTAAACATGTTGGGTATTAAAGGGAAAATATTTAAAATGATTCAAGCTTTTTTAACAAATAGGAAAATACAAGTTAGAGTTGGTGAAGTGATCTCAGGGAAATATACAGTAGAAAATGGAACCCCGCAAGGGGAGTATTGTAAGTCCGTCACTGTTCTCAATTATGATAAATGATGTATTTAACGATATTGGAAAAGAAATGGGATGTTCACTTTTTGCAGATGATAAAGCTGTTTGGAAAAGAGGGAAAAATGTAGATTTCATTGTAAAGAAATTACAAGAGATTATTATTGAAATAGAGAAATGGGCGAAAACGAATTTCAAATGGATTAGTATACACAGAGGAAATGTTGGCAATATTATTAGCTTTACAATTGGTAGAAGACATAAAACCATGAAAAACAGTAATTTGTTCAGATTCAAGCTCGCTCTGCATTATTAAGTTTAAAATATAACCAGTCAGATAGTAGGATGGACATTCTATTAGAAAAATTTCGTACATTATTCTGAATTAAAAATATGGGTTTGATTGTTGTATCTGTGTGTGTTCCAGCACATATTGGAGTAGAAGGAAACTAGAGGGCAGATAAAATGGCAAAGAGAGCAAATCCAAATCCTATTAGTTTTACAGTTAAAACAAGTACATCGAAGGGAAAGAGTATTATTAAAGAATAACTGATGGAAAATGGGGAAAAAAGGTGGGATGAAGAAAAAACGGGAAGGTAGTTTTATAAAATTCAGAAGATAGTAGGAAAAAGAAGAGATGGAAGACAAAATAGAAAGGAGGAGAGAGTGATAACAAGGTTAAGATTTGGGCATACAGGACTTAATTATACACTTTTCTAATTTCGAAAGCATACCACTGGCAAATGTGATTACTGTGGAAAATATGAAACATTAGAACATGTTAAATTCAAAAATATGAAGGCGAGAGAAGATATATGAGAGAGTTTGACTGTATTAAGAAAAAGATTAATTTATTAGATATTTTGAGGCAGAATTTGGGGAGTAAACATATAAAGATAATTATTCTATTTTTAAAGAAAAAATATTTAATAGAATTTGATTATAGAGAGGGCGAATGTGTGTATGATATAGACGGGTAGAATGCAAAGTTATGTATACCGAAAGTATGTAGTTTTTTTTTTTTTTGTTCCTTAGAAAGTTTTTATATGTTTATTAGTAGATAGTCCAATCAAACCACACTCCATACCATGAAGTGGCGGTAATGCTACTAAATGTTTGTTGCCAACCTCCAATAAATTCAACAAGAAGAAAAAGAAGATACACATTTTCATATTAAATGTATTCTCTGTTTTATGTTTGCAGACATGTTTTCCCGCCATTGGAGGTTTGGTGCTGTCAGGTTCACCGATGTGGACCTCTTTGCAGACGGTTCAGAGTCCGGTGCAGAGACTCTTTCCCAGGCTATCAGAACCGCTGCCTCCGAGCAGCCGGACGCAGATGGCAGCGTGCTATTTGGCCAGCTGCGGGGCACTGTGGTTGGGCTCAGATATTACTCTGGTGTGGTGAGGAACACCTGTATTTATTAACGCCTTGTAGCTTCCCTCTTCTGTCCAGGCTCATTATCTACAATCAGTAGATCATTTGGTGCTATCCTAAAACATTTATTTGCTTTAAGATTTTATTTATAGTAAATAAGGGAAATTAGATGAATGTTACATGGACATTTCAGTAGTACTTTACCAGATCATAAAGTAGGTGTGTAGCCTCATAACATTTCTGAAAAAGTTGTATGTCAAAAAAGCTGGAATTTTTAAGGGCTTGGAAAAAATTTTATGGTTTAAATGGAATGTATGTAATGTAAAAAAAACTGTGAAAGTTGAGATATTTTAGAAATCTGGAGTATTTGGATGGTTTGTGTGATTAAGGATAATCAAGTAGTTGAACAATTTATACCTAGAAAACATGTTTCTCAAGATCAAAGAAAGGGTTCCGTTATAAATATTCTATTATTTAATGAAATACATATTTGTTACTAGTCTCATGTTATATTATATATATATTATATATATATATATATATATATATATATATATATATATACACTCACCCGCCACTTTATTAGGTACCCCATGCTAGTAACGGGTTGGACCCCCTTTTGCCTTCAGAACTGCCTCAATTCTTCGTGACATAGATTCAACAAGGTGCTGGAAGCATTCCTCAGGGAATTTGGTCCATATTGACATGATGGCATCACACAGTTGCCGCAGATTTGTCGGCTGCACATCCATGATGCAAATCTCCCGTTCCACCACATCCCAAAGATGCTCTATTGGATTGAGATCTGTGGAGGCCATTTGAGTACAGTGTTAGGTTTTATTATTTATACATCATGTGCATTGTTATTTGTTAGTCAGATTAGACAGAGCAGAAGGCCTTCCTTCACATTGTGGATGTTGCGGTGTGTACGGAGGTCATCTAATCAGGACAGCCTTCGTGTCTCTAAGAATACACAGGATATGGGCACATCTTGGAGCCGGACTGATAGGAGAGCCACTGTATCTGTAACCCTGAGACAGAGAGGCAACCTGCATGAAGTTCAAGACATGGATGGCGTGTCAGTTTCTGATACGGACAACTAAGCATCCACATGATGCAACACAGACTCAGAACGTATAAGAAGCAGGAGATGACGTTGTTCGGGGCTCAAACTATGCCGGATGCTTGCAGACGTGATTTTTGAGACCACAGCTGTGCATAGCTCTAAGCATTTTTCTCTGTCCTGTAACGACCTGATCTGGAATAAACTCTGTTACTTTTTACTCCTGTTTTTATAGTCGTTTTTGATATGGTTTTACCCAGTTTGAGTTAAGAGTGGTAAATAACTTCCTCCCAGGAAAAGAACCGATGAGGAGGCCCCCGGGGCGCTACAGCCTTTAGTTCCAAGGGGACAAATCCTCCTCACTTTAACAACAATGAACTCATTGTCATGTTCAAGAAACCAGTCTGAGATGATTCCAGCTTTATGACATGGCGCATTATCCTGCTGAAAGTAGCCATCAGAAGTTGGGTACATTGTGGTCATAAAGGGATGGACATGGTCAGCAACAATACTCAGGTAGGCTGTGGCGTTGCAACAATGCTCAATTGGTACCAAGGGGCCCAAAGAGTGCCAAGAAAATATTCCCCACACCATGACACCACCACCACCAGCCTGAACCGTTGATACAAGGCAGGATGGATCCATGCTTTCATGTTGTAGACGCCAAATTCTGACCCTACCATCCGAACGTCGCAGCAGAAATCGAGACTCATCCGACCAGGCAACGTTTTTCCAATCTTCTATTGTCCAATTTCTATGAGCTTGTGCAAATTGTAGCCTCAGTTTCCCGTCTTAGCTGAAAGGAGTGGCACCCGGTGTGGTCTTCTGCTGCTGTAGCCCATCTGCCTCAAAGTTCGACGTACTGTGCGTTCAGAGATGCTCTTCTGCCCACCTTGGTTGTAACGGGTGGTTATTTGAGTCACTGTTGCCCTTCTATCAGCTTGAGCCAGTCTGGCCATTCTCCTCTGACCTCTGGCATCAACTAGGCATTTCCGCCCACAGAACTGCCGCTCACTGGATGTTTTTTCTTTTTCGGACCATTCTCTGTAAACCCTAGAGATGGTTGTGCGTGAAAATCCCAGTAGATCAGCAGTTTCTGAAATACTCAGACCAGCCCTTCTGGCACCAACAATCATGCCACGTTCAAAGTCACTCAAATCACCTTTCTTCCCCATACTGATGCTCGCTTTGAACTGCAGGAGATTGTCTTGACCATGTCTACATGCCTAAATGCACTGAGTTGCCGCCATGTGATTGGCTGCTTAGAAATTAAGTGTTAACGAGCAGTTGGACAGGTGTACCTAATAAAGTGGCCGGTGAGTGTGTATATATATATATATATATATATATATATATATATATATATATATATATATATATACACATATATGTATGTGTGTGTATGTGTGTGTGTGCGTGTTTATTTATATGTGTGTGTGTTTTTATTAATACATATGTTTATATTCTTTTTTTGCTTTTGCTGTAAAATCCTCTTTTAGCTGGATCACATCCACACACATTAAAGAATTTAATTATGTTAAATTCATTCAGTGGATTTCTTCACTCTTATTTTTTTCTCACTGTGTAAAACATAGAGAATGCTATTGTTTTTGTATTAGTTCCTTTTTAATTCAGTTTTGTTATAATTTGAGGCACAAATCATATCAAACCAAAATATGAATGATGAGTTCAGCTCTGATCAAGGATATAGGATGGATGTAACTGGACAGTTTTATGATTAAAAGCAATAATTCTGTATTGTCATGTCCTATGGTTACGCTTTTCAGCCTTCAACAATGGCTTAATAGCCAAAAACGATTCAGATAAAGATCAAAATAACTGTTACTTAGTATTTTAAAAATATCTTGTCAAATCCATCTGGTTCATCCCTAACTTGTGGAAATATTTAAAAACTTCATCATCTGCCAATAACATGGCACAAAAAGTACAGAAAATATTTGGTCGCTTTGAGTTGAAATAAGAACATATTTAGTCATAAAAAGAAGAAGAAAAAAAATTTTGATCAGATCCAAGTGCCCTTTTGTGCACATTGCTGGTTCTTTTTACTTGATAATGACAAAGAAAATAATCCTCTTAAACATAGCAATACTATGTTTCTTTACAGGTAAACCGTGGGGAGATGGTGAGTTTGGTACGGGAGCCGCAAAATCCGTACGACCGGAATGCGGTGATGGTCACCAACGTTTTAGGCCGACAGGTGGGACACATTAAGAAGGAGCTGGCTGCAGCCATGGCATATGTTATGGATAAAAACCTGGCCAAAGTAGAGGGGTGAGTTCTGATTGGCAGAATGATTTTAGGTCAAAATTATCATTAGAAAAAATCCAAGAATCCGTAAGAATACACGGATACAAAGGGCTGTTAACTACCTCTCTGTTGTGCTCAGTGATTAGAGTCTGTTGAAGCTAAGTGTGTGTATGAATGTCATTGTTAGGGTGGTTTACTCAGGGACCAACAACACCTTCTCCATGCCGGTTACACTTTCATTCCTGGGGAGCGAAGAGAACAAGGATGCTGTGATGAAGTACATGGCGAGTCGAGGGTACAAACTGGACACAGAAGGAGGTGGACCTGCAGTTATGCACACCGTGTTTAAATCTCACCCTTGGGTTCCTTATTTTTTTAGTCAGTAACAGTGACACTAACTGCTTTCTCTTTCAGGTGCAATGGGGAAAGCTTCTGGCTCTGCTGGCGCTCGCTCGTTTTCCTTCAAGAAAGGTGTGACCATCCCGCTAACTGCAGATGAGGTGAGGGTTTGGTTTAGGTCTGACTGAAGCTGAAAGGGCAAATCAGGAAAGATCAGGGTGATCTGGCCTTATTGTTGTGTGTTAAAAAAAACTAAAAAATAACCTCCTGCCATAATCATTTTCTAACAAGAAATCTGTTTAAAAATGTTTTGCTCAGAGGTAAAGTCTGGCATTTTTACAACAACAAATGCTAATTAGTTGTCATCCAGCAATTCTATTCCAGACACTTTGCAGTTAAATTAAAGATTTTGCTCTAGTGCTGAACATTATATATCACAACTTGTGCAGCGTCACAGAGACCGATTTGAAATGTTATTAGTGCTGTGCATGCAAATCTTGCATATACATGATGTAGTGTAAACTTGTCAGCCTATCTTTTTGTGTTCTCAGTGCCTGGTTGAATGTCCTTAGTGATCAATAGGCTAAAGCTATCCAGATAATTGCGCGTAGTATAATGAAGGAAGAGAGCCAAAAAAATTCTGGTTGTCATTGATGTTGTAGCACCAGTCACTAAAGTAGTGTAGTATTATTATTTTGTATGTCTTCCAGCTGAAGAATGCATTTGACAATTTATTTGAGGGTTTGATGGAGAGCAAAGATGGGGAGAAAGAGGCAGCTGAGGTAAGTTGTGCTGCTAACCATTGCACTATAACATTCATTTTATTTTTGTATTTACAGGTTTGTTTGTGTTTTTTGGTAGAATGTTTAACATTATTTTCACTCTCTCACCAGTATTTTTTTGGACAGACATCTTAGATTTATTCTTGGTTTTCGTCTTGAGGATGAAACCTATTATTCGTTTTAGTTACATCTTTATAGTTTTAGTCTGGGTTTGGTTGACTAAAGCCCATAAAGGTTTTAGTCTAGTTTTAGTCGGTTTTATGTTGCAATTCATAAAAGGGCTTACCTTTACAGTTTCAAATGACAAGCATATTCTCTACCAGACTGACAGCTCTTACCTTGATACTACAATTGCTGGAGATACAAAGCTTCTCTGCAGTTCATCATTGCTGTTGGGCATAAAGCTTTGATTTATAGAATTCAAATAAACTTTTTTATTAAGTAATGCCATAATTTATAAAACATTATCTCACAAAGTCAGGGAAAATTGCAGATCTAGTTCAACACATCATATTGGTTAATATAGCAGACAAACAAGCTAACAAAATATACAATAAAGGAATGGTTTTAGACATACAAGGCTTCCATCGAAAAGCAAATACTTCCTGATCTACTGTGATTTATGCATTACACACAGATCAATAAAATCATCTTTGCTCCAAAAAAGTGAACAAAAACTTTCTACTTTGGCAATTTTGGCATTATTATTTCAATTTGCCCCTTGGTCACTGCTGCTCAGGGCTCAAAGTAGATTTAGATTCACAGGGTATTGATTTAAAAAAATACACAGACAGAACCTACCTAATTGCCTTGTAGTGCCATGGAAATCCAGACCTAAATGAATATGCTAACTAAAATGTTGACATATATTCAGTGATGGGCAGTAGCGTCGCTACATGTAGCGAAACTATTAGTTTAACTACATTTTCCAGTAGCTTGACCGTAGCGTCGCTGCTTTATTTATCAAGTAACTTTCCAGTAGTAACGTTATTATTTTTATCAAGTAGCGACGTAGCGTCCACAAACGCTACAAAATCCAGGGCATAACTCGGTAATGAAAGTAGGTTTTCCATTTTTGAAACAACAATCAGAGTTATTCGTTGGACATTCACGCATGAGCCTCTATTCTGCCTCTCCTGTCTGTATCTACGAAACATGCGCATGCGTACGGCAGCGGAACTCAAAGAATGACACACACAGACACACAGAGCCACACACACAGGATGGAGGAGGAGACAGGAGCAGAGCGCCTTATCATTAGAGATTTTGAAACTTGTTGAATCCTCTGATAAAAAGTAAGTGTTCAAATTTCGGTTCTTGGCCATAGAGAGCTCATGTGGGCAAGACTAGCCCTTTGTTTTACATAGCCAAACACTTATTAAAACAGTTAACTGCAGTCAATTTTTTAAAATAAAAATGAGAAAAATATATCAGCTTTAACTTAATTGGCGCCTTTAATTTCCAGATAGTTAAATCTAATGAGTGCCACTAAGATATTCTCATTAGAGAGAAGTAGCCAAACTTAGATATTGTATTTTCATGGCCTAATCTACCAGACAGGATGTTTACATAAATCTGTTTCAAGGCTTATTTGCACAGATAAGATTTTTTAGGTATGGAGGAACAGCTCTCCCATATATAAAAATAAATACATAAATAAATACATGCTCAATAAATAAATAAGCATTCAATTAATTACCCCCCAAAATACAATGAATAAATATGTAGGTAGAAATTAAATTCTACAGTGAGACATAAATGTATATATATCTCTTAATTAGCTTCTTTATTTTTTCACATTTTTTGTCAACAGTTTCTTTTGTTACTTAAATCGACTGTTTAATTGAGGTCTGAAGAAGTTTTCTCTAAGGGAGACCCTAAAGAAATAAGATGCCTTTTGTAGGGTTTTGTTTTCCCTAGAGATGTCCATTGAATGCAAACTCATCGCCATGTCTCAATGTGTAGAACACTACACGGTACCTTTAATTTGGTTCTAATAACAACAGATTGTTTATTTTTTTGTCTACTAGTAAATACTTAAGTTTTTTTTATTATGCTGATCATAAAGCAATTTTTACACTGTGTTATGTCATTGGCTGATCTTTAATAAATGTTTTAACCTGTGCATCAGACTCATTTTGAATTGATATTAGGTTGGTACAACGTTAAGTAGCTTCTGATATAATTAAGCTACTGTTAACACATTAGTGTAACTTAGCTTGCTATAATTCTTAAGGTGGTAGCTTTTGTGTAGTGAAGTTTAATTTATTGTTGAGTAACTGATAGCTTAGCTCACTACACTGGACAAGTAGCTTGCCCAACACTGCATATATTCAAATTAGGGTTGTCAAAAGTATCGATACTCAAAAAAGTATTGATACTGAAACGTTGTATCCGGATACAATACTCATTTTCAAAAGTATCGATACAGCCATCTAAAGTGCAGAATAGTGGAAAATGCACTTTCTGAACACTGTGTGATTGAATAATTCAGTGCATTTTTCAGTTCTAGACTTTTTTTGTAACAGGTGCAGCTGCTGAGAATGATTTTTGTTTAACTGGTTTGGCCAGTGTCATTGTTATGTCTGCATTGTGCACAGCATACAACCTCAAAAATATTATTAGGGGGGCCACATGCCGAAGGCATGGCCCACCTATTACTATTGCACATATTTATTCCGCGTATTATTAG